CTTTCAGACTCCATAGTTCTTTCTCTGGATGTGGACAGCATTTTCCATCATGAGTCTTTTGGTTGTCTTAGATCATTATATTGCTGAGAAGAGCTAAGTCTATCATAATTGGTCATACACAGTGTGGCTGTTAGTGTGTACAATGTTCTGCTGGTTCTGCTCACTTCACTCAGAATCAGTCCATACAAGTCTTTCCAGGTTGTTTTCTGAAATCCACTTGCTCATCATTTCTTATAGAATAGTAGTATTCCATCACATTCACATACCACAACTTGTTCAGCCTTTCCCCAACTGATGGGCATCCCCTCAATTTCCAATTCTTTGCCACCACAGAAAGAACTGCTATAAATATTTTTATACATGTGGGTCCTTTTCCCTTTTTTATGATCTCTTTGGGATACAGACTTTGTCTCTACTTTCTTATGAATGTTAGGTGACCCTATTAATTGTACTTCCAGGTTCTTGAGCACTTTGGGACTCTCTTTTCCATTGATCAAATGAGTTAATATTTGGAAAGTGCTTAGCACAGTGCCTGGGGCATAGTAGGCACCCTATAAAATTCTATTCCTTTCCTTTCCTTTGTATCCCAAATTCTTGGTAGGATGCCTGGCACACAGGAATTTAATAAAGGCTTTCTTCATTCATTATTGGTTTGTGTATTTTGTATTTTCTTATCACTTTCCTTTGAAGTCTTGGTTTTGCTGACATATAATTATGTGTTGTAGTTTCTGATCATTCTTTTTATATTCTTGATTTTTTTGTGAATTCTCTTGTTCACTTTTTTGGGATAATTTTATTTTCCTCTTTAGTTGACCAGGTTGGCTAATGGTTTATTGATTTTGTTAATCTTTTAAAAATAACCAGCTTAGTTTTGTCAATACTAGAGTTTTCCTATTTTCCATTTTCCTGATTTCTTTGTTTCTCTTCCAATTTTCTGGATTTCTTCTTTTGTGCTTGTGTTAGGGCTGCTAATTCATTGATTTCTAGTCATTTGAATGACATGCTTGGTTAGCTAATCCTCTCTTTTTCTATTTTGTTAACAAGTTTTCAGAGACAAACACTTTTCTCCCAAAATTGTTTTAGTTGCATCTGTAAAGTTTTGGAAATTTTAAATTATTACTATTTTAACATAATTATTTTTATTTCTGTGATTTTGACTAAGCCCTTATTCAGGATGTTGTTACGTAGTCTTTATTTTGGTGTGGGTGTTTTGCTTATATTTCTTCTATTAATTATTAATTTCCTTGAAGTGTTGTTTGGTTGTTTCAGTTGTATTTGACCCTTTGTGACCCTATTTGGTGCTGTCTTGGCAAAGATACTGGAGTGGTTTGCCATCTTCTTCTCTGGCTTATTTTACAGATGAGGAAACTGAGGCAAACATGGTGAAGTGACTTGTCCATGGTTACAGAGTTAGTGTTGGAGAGCAGATTTGAACTCAGGAAGATGAGTCTTCCTGGCTCTAGGCCCAGAACTCTATCCACTGCAGCGCCACCTAGCTGCCCCATCTATAACTTAGAGAGGAATATTAAAGACTCCTACTATTACTGTGTTTTTGCCAATATCTTCTTGCAATTTGCCTAGTTTTTCTCTTAAGAACTTAGCCACCATACCATTTTGTGCTTATGCAGGTAACACTTTAATTTTTCCTGTTTATGATGCTGTCGACCACAATACAGTTTCCTTATCTCTTTTGACTTTATTAATTTTTATTGTTGCCTTATCTGAGATCCAAATTATATCACCTACTTTTTTAGAGTAGTGTGAAGCATAGTAGATTTTGTTCCATCCCCTTATTTTCATTCTGTATGTGACTTGTATTTCTTATATGCTGCAAATTGTGGGAGTTTTGTGTGTGTGTGTGTGTGTGTGTGTGTGTGTGTGTGTGTGGCAGTTGGGGTTAAATGACTTGCCCAGAGTCACACAGCTAGGAAATATTATGTGTCTGAGGCCGGATTTAAACTCAGGTCCTCCTAACTCCAGGGCCATTGCTCTATCCACTGCACCACCCAGCTGCCCCCAAATTGTTTTTTTTTTGTCTTCTTATTTACTCAATTCTCAATTCTTTTTCTTGTTGTTGGAGAAATTAATCCATTCACTTTTAGGGTGATAATGATCTCTCTCTTTCTTTTTTTTGTTTTCTTCTACTTACTATTTATGTTTGTATGTGAAGGATCAAGAGTGGGAAAGGAAAGGAACAAGGGCAGACCAGGAAAGATAAGTTTAGAGAACAGGGATGGATGGATGGACCTGCAATCATGGTGAAGAGTAAGTTTAGGAGGAGTGATGCAGAGGGAAAAATGATGATGGATAGAAGGGAAAATGATGATGGATAGAAGGTGAAATGGTGGATAAAGATCAGAGAGAGGAAGTTCACAGTCCTGGCTCATCGAGGTAGAACAGTTGTGGGTAATGGTCAGATCGAGGTTTGATCATCCTCATGTATGGTTGAGGTAGAGTAAGGATAAACCTGCCCACCTCCCAGTTACCATTTCTAGAGGGTGGCTGGGTTTGCAAAGCACTTGCCACACACTGATTGTTTGTCAAAGTGGCATTATCTTCATTTTACAAATGAAGAGACCACAGCTCAGTCTGGGTCCTATATGGTGGGTATTTATAGTTAGATTTGAACTTGTCCCTTGACTGCAAGTCAAGGCATCTAGGTAGCACAGTGGATGGAGCCTAGACTCTGAGTCACGGAAACCTGAATTCAAATCCTGCTGCATACTCTCCCTGGTAGCAATCCTGGGCAAGTCAAGTAACCTCTCAGTGCCTCAATTTCCTTATTTGTAAAACAGGGTTAATAATAGCACCTACCTCTCAGTGTTGTTGTGAGGATCAAGTGAGCAGACACATATAGGCTTCATAAACCTTAAAGTCCTCTCTAAATGGTAGCTAGTATTATTAGTAGAATCGATTATAGCAATAACAATAGTGAAACTTAGTATTCGTGAGCCAAGCATTCTTTCTTCTGGATCATTCTTCCCTCAAAGGCTGATTAATTTTGGTCACTGAAAGAGTCTTCATTTTAGCCACAGACCGAGTCCTAGGCCAGGCCACTGAGTGACCCCCCCCTCCACCCCCACCACTGGCCTTTGACAGATTTGGCTGGAAAACAGATGGTCAGAAAGGCTTGTCTGAATTCATGAAAGGGAAGGTGGACAAGGTCCAGTGAGCTCCGCTCTTAATGGCCTCAGATCACCAGGAGAATTTGTATCTGAAAAGGCAGCCTGTTGATCCAAGGCTTCTGATTGAAGAGCTGGTCACGTAGCTCCTGCCTGGCTGAGAAACGGCCAGCAAGTCTTTGGGGAGGGAATCAAATTGAAGCAATCTCTCGTATTTATAAACCTTTCATTCTTCCACTTACAAACCTAGTCCTGCCCCTCCTGGAGCCGGGCAGATCATCCTTCTGACAGGAGGTCCTCTGGGGACATGGGGGGCTTCTGGAGACATGTGATGGCCACCAGGATTACAGGAACACTGCCCTCCCCCTGCCCCCTACTTGACCCAAGCTGCAGGGGACTCTGGGACAAGCTGGAGAAGCTTTGTAGCTGCACAGGAATAATCTATACCTAGCACCCAACATGGTGCCTCACACTGAGCTAGAGCTTAATGCTTGTTGCTTGGCCCCAGCCTCCTGAGTGCTGTGCTCTTAGAGGTCACTGGATGAAAATATCCCAGAGACCCTGAGATTTAGGAAGGCCTGAGCAGAGCTGAGGATGCTGGGGCTGTCCTTCCTACCACAGCGCTGGGCTGCAAATACTGACTGAGCACCCTAAGGATGTGGGGCTTAGGGTCTAGAACAGCAGTGCCCTTAGCACTGGCCATGTCTAACGGAAGGTCCCTGATGCAAAAAGGGAGGAAATGCAGTTGGAATCATGATTCTTCTGTTGCCCAGATCTCTCTCCTCTCCATAGATGTACCATGTGTCACAGGGAGCCATGTTGGACTGGAGGCCCATTGGTCTGGTCAGTCTGATTGTGTCCTCATATTCTGCAAGGTCACCCAGGCTTTCCCTGCAATAGCCCACCAAGAGGTGTCTGTACCTGCCTGTGAACAGGTGACTTCACTGGGATCTTGGTCAAGGCTTGGGTTCAGCATAAGACGCTCTCTGGGCAGTGGTCAGTGAGGGAGGCCATGCGTTCTTTGGTACAGTTGAAATGAAAGGGTAGAGAATATGCATTTTTATTAAGCACCTACTATGTGCAGGCACGGTGCTAAAAGCTTTTACAAATATGATCTCATTCGACCCTAGCAACAACCCTGGGGGTAGGTGCTTTTATTATCCCCATTTTACAGATGAGGAAACTGAGAAATAGGTAAATGACTTGCCAAAAGACACACAGCTAGTAATTGTCTGAGGTGGGATTAGAGCTCCAGGTCTGGTGCTCCATGCACTGTGGTGCCCCCTGCTGCCCTCAAAGGAGGAGAGCAAGAACACTGAGTCCTTTCCAATGACCGAAGATTTGGGTGTGGGGGAATAAAGAGCATTACATTTGGGCTTCTTGGGGCAGCTAGGTGGTGTAGCAGATAAAGCATTGGCCCTGAAGTCAGGAGGACCTGAGTTCAAATCTGGCCTCAGACCAAACATTTGACACTCACTAGCTGTGTGACCCTGGGAAAGTCACTTGACCCCAATTGCTTGAAAAACAAAAAAAAATCTGGACTTCCTCAGCTTTGGAGGTCACAGAACCTCAGAGCTGGGCAGGAGCTCAGAGCCCTCTTGTCCAGCCCCACCCCCAACCTTCCCACAAGGGGTCCCTCCATCACCCCTAGATAGCCTAGCATCTGTTGGGCTGGGAGTGACTTAGGGGTAGGTGGTACGAGTTATTAGACCCATTTTAGAGATGAAGAAACTGAGGCTCCGAGAGGTGCCAACACAATTAGTTATTAAATGGCTGCCACTTCATTTTTGGCTTCCTTCTCCAGCTTCTGCAGCACAGGGTGACACCATCTTTGCATTTGTCCATGAGCCTTCTCTCCTCCTCCATTTGCTCTGACAGGAGTTTCCACTGGCAGTCATCAGAGGCCCTGAGTGCTTTTGTGGCTATCCTACCCCGAAGTTCAGCCTGCATGATGCGGTGGACAGCTCCCTCTGCACCTGGGACCCTGAGACCCCGGGCTGGGGGGATTACTGTGTGGTCTACCAGACACCCATCCAAGGTGAGGTTTGTGCCGAGATGGGGCCAGGGAGACTGCCTCAGTGCCTGGAGTAGACTTACCTAGCACTGGCAGGGGCTGCTCTGTAAGCGGACACTGCAGTTTGGCACTGGGGGAGAGGAAGGGGGCCAGGGCTGGGAGTTTGGAATGTGGGGAGAGTGATGGGGGAAGTGTGTCAGTGCACAGCGGGCGGCTGAGAGGAGGCCCAAGGCATAGGATGCCCTGCTAGCCTTGGCTTCAAATGGGAGATGACTCTGGAAGCTGGGTGGGGATGAGTGGGAAGGACCACCAGTGAGAGTGGCCAAGGCAAGCCAGAGATCTTCAGGGAGGGTGTGGAAGTGAGGAAGGCTCAGATGTCCATGCCGATGTTCTCATTAAGGTGGCCTGTGTGGTGCTCAGGTCCTGAGAGGGGCTGGCCAACGGGCCATCTAAGACCCCCAGGACCCTCGGGGGCTTGTTGCTGCTTCTGTGCTTACACGTGTTCCAGTCCCCTGGGAGGGGCAGCCAGGAGCACTAGTGCGGTCCTCACTACCTCTGTGTGCCATGGTGTGTGGCTTCAGATCCTGCATGAATGTCATCCCCAGAGGGGAAGATGAGCAATGTGGGCTGTATCCTCTTGTGGAAACTCCCTCCATCAAGGCAGGTGGGGAACTCAGTAATCTGAAAGAGGTGCCTGGGAGCCCTGAGGGTCTGGGTGACTTGCCCAGAGTCACACAGTCGATTTGTGTCAGAAATAACACTAGAACCTGAGGCTTCCTGGCTCCAAGCCTGGCCTTCTCCACTCTGCTTCTCGGGGGAAAATAGAGGTTTTAAAGATGGTCAGGGCATATCTCGGAACAATTTAATGTATCACACTGTTCTCCAAATGGAATCCAACCCTCTCTCTTCCTCCCACTGAATTCTGGGCCCAGTGTATCATCCATCAGAAGGCAGACATCCCAATGGATAGCATGGAGGAACTACCAATGCTACTGCTCCAAGGACCCTCAGCCCTGGCTTCTTCATCTTGTGTTGCCAGTGTGGATGACTAAGCTGATTTCTTTTGAATGACCCTGAGTCTACGTGAGGCATCCCTGGAGTTTCTGGTGATCAGCACCACTAGCTCAAGGCTGTTCACATCTGGAGGACCCCTCAGTCCATGGGGGAATCCTCTGCCCATTCAGATTCTGCCCTGGACAGTCTCCACTACACTTCTGAAACCCTTAGGTGAATGGGTGGTGACGGTCCCAATGATACACATATATAGTCTTTAGGGTGCTCCCCCAAGGAAGAGGAACCCAAGCAGGGTCTGGAAACCTGAAGGGAGCCCCAGGGAGCCAAGGCTTCAATGTCCTGGTGGACATCAATCCAAGACATGGAGGCTGGTCTTGGCCCCACAAACTCTGAACCCAGAAAAGCTCCAACTCAGAGCTGTTCCCTAGTACAACCTCCTTGTCTTCCAGAGAAGGATATGGAGACTCAGAGAATTAGGGTAAGTTCTCAAGGGAAGAGTCAAGACCCAGCCCTTCTTTTCTACATGACAGTCCCTCTCATAACTGAATGAACAAAGTGCATTTATTAAGCACAGTCTGAATGCTGGGGATACAGAGTGCAAAGCTCAGACAGTCTCAGCTGGCTAGGAGTTCACATTCCAGTGGGGGAGACAAGTGGAATGTCTCAGCTAAGAGTCAGATAGAAAAGTCTCATGGTCCTTAGGCAGAGCCAAGCTGATAAAGTCATTTCCACTGATAAAACCCTATCAATGTCTGATGTTGGACCATTGGATAGGGCCAAGGACTTTGGGGGCCAGCCCTTTCTTTTCTGGGTCTCTGATAGATGTGGCCAGAGCACCTGCTGGTGCTCTCCCTGGGTGGCATTCCCACAGGACTGCTTTCCAAGAGGTGACTTCTAGGATGCCATTCCCAGGGCTCTGGAGATGCAGGGTGCTGGTTGTCCAGCAGATGAGGCTGGGGTTGGTGGGGGTGAGGAAGCAATCATTCCCCTCAGTGATAGCTATGAGGGCTGAAATGGAAGCAAGCTGATGGTCTGAGGGATTCAGGGCAGTCTCCCATCAGGGTCTTTGGAGAGGTGGTGGCAGTCATTGGACTTGCCTCCCTTCCCCCACACTGGTGACTCTTGGTGGGGATGGCATCATGACAGTAATGATGTGCATGACATGAGGACATCCCTCACTGGCTCCTGCCTGTCAGCCCCGTGTGGCTCTTGGGAAGTCCCTTCCCAGGGCTCTGCAGTAGCAGAGATCAGTCCCTTTCATGCTGGAGTGGCAGTAACTGTGGGGATGGGTCAGCAGAGCCAAGAGACCAGGGTATCCTAGGCTGATGATTTCCTTTTACAGTCAAGTTGTTGAGTGCCCTCAGTGGAGAGAGGTTTCATGCCGGGAGTCACCCACCCTGAGGCACTTGTATATTGGATCTAGAAAAAAAAATCATGTGTCTGGGAGGTGGGCATCAAGAGGTCAGTGGTCTGTGATGAGCACATAGGTCTCGTCTCCCACCTGTCCAACTCTTGCCTGCAGCCAAAAGCTATGAGAAGGCTGGGGCAATGGGCCATCGATGTCCAGGATCTTGGGCATAATGTTCTGGGATCTTGTGGCTGGGGTTCAATGTGGAGTCCTACTCTGGGCAGGCCCAACTAAGAGGGGTCCCAGGCTCTGGCCGAGGACAAACAGGCCTAGAAAGGAGAGTGAGGACCTGGAGGTTGGGGGAGGGGTGCTCCCTAGGGTGCCCCTGGGGCCCAGAAGTCCTCAGGTGGCTTGGGCTGGAGAAAGATCTTTGCTTGGATTTGGGGATCCTCCTATCCCCTCAGCCACTGCTCTGAGTGATGACTGCCTTCCTTGTCCCTGGCCTTGCAGACACACGATGCATTGACAGGCGCTTCTTGCCCAACAAAGCTAAAGTCTTCGTGGCACTGTCCAGCTTCCCAGGTGCTGGCAACACATGGGCCCGTCACCTTATCGAGCATGCCACCGGCTTCTACACGGGCAGCTATTACTTCGATGGTGCACTCTACAATAAAGGTGGGTCCTGGCGACCTTGGAGGAGAGGGCAGGGGGTACAGCAGGGAGGACAGCAGGAGGTGTCCAGTCCCCACTTCTCTGGGTTAGGCAGATTTCTCCAACGAGGTCTGGTCCCTGTGCCGGGCCCTCAAAGAAGCAAGCAGCAGTGCCTCACTCCTTAGGGCCTACTGGTCATGAGGCACCAGAGAAGGGCTTCTTGGCTGTGGTCTGTAACCTTTGTTCCCCCCAAACCTCCAGGTTACCACATTTCCATAGGGTTGGCTTCCTGGTCAATGCTGACTATTTTATTTTATATATATACAAACAGGTTTCTGAGGAAAGTTGGCCCATTGGCATTCCCAGTTAGCCCAGAGGTCCAGGACTCAGGAAAGTGGAGGGTCCCAAGACTGCTGAAGGTCATCCGGAAATCTGGGAACATTTTATCTCAGGGACTTTCTTTTCCTTGTGAACAAATGGGAGGCCTCATTATGCTGAGGAGATATACATAAAGGATAACATTTGGGGTTTTTTAACTGAGCATCTCAGGGATGGAGGGTCAGGGCCTGGACTTGTCAACGTGATTCCCACCATCCATCACCAAGTGTGTGTATGTGTGTATGTGTGTATGTGTGTCGGGGCTGGGGTGGCAGCTGCTGTCCAAGTCACTGCCCTGCTACACCTGGAAGGAAACTTCCAGAGCATCCGAGCCTCATCTCCTCCATCACAGGTGAGGAAACTGAGGCACAGAGAGGGGAAGGGATTTCTTGCAGGTCACACACATACAGTGAGTCAGTCAGCAAGCAGCCACACAACCGATCCTCATTCTTGATGCAGGGAGAGCCCAGGCCAAGAGAGAACGTCTCCTGCCTCACTGCCGGCATCTGACCCAAACCTTCTCAAGAAGTCCTTGGTGGCAGCAGACCCTGGAGGCCTTGCTCCTGTACCTCTGGCCCAGAGCTTCCTTGTGGAGATGGACTTGACTCAGCTAGTCTGAGAGAGGATGGAGGATGGACGTGACTGAAGGGGCCTGGGCAGGCAGTCCTGGTCTGGCTATGGCTGGAAGTGTTCAGTCCACAGCCAATGCCCCCCTCACTTAGAAGGTGTGGGAGCTGGCCAAGAAAGCACTTGTTTTTATCTGAGTGGGCAGCGAAGTTCTTTTAAAACAGCTGTTGTGTTGTGGTCTGGGGATGTTATGTATTGTAGCGTTCAGCTCCTTCATTTTACAAATGAGGAAACGGAGGTCTCCAGACAGGAAGTAACACTGCCTCAGTGAGACTGAATGTGTGCCTCTTGGCATGACTGCCAAACTCAACATGGCTGTGTTAGGCACCGCCTCATCCCATCAGGCTCACAGTCTGTGGAAGCAGCAGGAGATACACCCACAGACAATGAAGTGTGGAGCTCAGTCGGCCAGGCTTGCACCCTTGTGCTGGATCCTTCACGCTCACTCACCCCACACAGTCAGTCTGTCAGTTCTCTTTCCACGTGCATTGCATTTCTCCATCACACCCCTGCTCCATGTCTTGGCCCTGGGTGTCCTCTGTCTGGTCGTCCACCTGCCTGGAAAGCTCTCCCTCCTCCACTCCCACTGCTGAGCGCCCTCGTTTCCTTAAAGTCCTGACTAAAATCCCATCTTGTGCAGGAAGCCTTCCCATTCCCTCTGAATTCTAGTGCCTTCCCTCTGTTGATTAGGTTCTGCCTATCCTGTATAGGGCTTGTTTGTCCATAGCTGCTTGCTTGTTTTCACCTCTGTTAGGCTGTTACTCCTAGCACCTGGGATTTGTACCCAATCAGTCAATCATATTGAGATAGCAAGCTTTGCAAGGGCAGGGACTTTCTTTTGCCTCTTTTTTATCCCTGGTACTTAGCACAACACCCAACACATAGTAGGGGCTTAATAAATGTTTTTTGATTTGTTGACTGATTATTTTACTTCTGACTTTTCATTCCCAGCACTTAGCACAGTGCTTGGCACATAGCTGGTGCTTAATAACTGCCTATCTCTGTGGGTGAATATTGCCTGGTTTTAACCCCTAATGGAAACCATCGACTGACCCAAAGATGGTCTAGAGACCATGTCTACACATTCCCTGAATGTCTGAGCCTGTTAACCACTAGGCAGACTGGCGGGATTTTCAGAGTTGGGTGCTGTAGTGTGTGGTCTCTGGTGTTGAGAAGAAACAGCCCAGTCTGGAACTGTCTGATGCCCTTTCTGAGATGAGAACAGCTCCATACTGAAGCACCCATAGAGTTAGAGACCAAGTGAGCAAGGCCGCATGGTAGTCATGGAATCTAGCCTTCTTCTGCAAATGGAAAAATGAGGGTCTCTAGATAGGGTAAGGGACTTTTCCAAGGTCTCATAGTGAGACCAAGACCATGGCAAAGCCAGACTCAAAGCCAGTTCTGTGGTCTTTCACCTCACCATGCTCCTTCTTCCAGAATGTTTGCTGAACACCTTCCATGTGTGCAGAATAGAGGCAAATGTTCTCAAAGATCTGAATCTACTTGTATATGGATCAAGGAAGGGCCACAGACTTAGAAGTCAAAATGGTGGCACTGACTTTATATCTCCACCCCACCTTCCTGTGGGAAAGAGGAGCATCCCTGCATGCTTGGGTCTAATTTCCTTTTTTTCATTTAAGGTTTTAAAGGGGAGAAAGACCACTGGAGGAGCAGAAGGACCATATGTGTGAAAACCCATGAAAGTGGAAAGAGAGAGATTGAAACGTTTGATGCTGCCATCCTGCTCATACGGAATCCATACAGGTCACTCATGGCAGAATTCAACCGGAAGTGTGCTGGGCACTTGGGATATGCCACAGACAGGAACTGGAAGAGTCAAGGTAATTTGAGAGCCGGGGGCACCAGGGAAGCAGGAGGTGGGTGGACATTAGACTTCACAACAGCAAAAGGAGAGAGCTGGACCAGATGGCCTGCAGGACCTCAGTGGGACAGGCTGACGGGAGCAGAGACACTCAAAGCCCCCCTCCCTTTCTTTTAAAAATGGCACCAACATATTTTGTCTTTACCTTTAATTTTGAATAAGTCCTCTCACCATTCCCTATGCCTTTAGAATAGAAGCCAAGCCTTTCTTGGAACAAAGAATAAAACTAAGAAAGAAAGCCCAGCAGGTCCACAACACTGCCCAGTGTGTGCATCAAGCCTGCCAGCCATGACGGCAGTGTTGTACACCCATGGCTCCCCCCTGCCACAGAGGGAAGGGGGCTCCTGGTGTGGGAGCCAAGCTTGGGCAGTAGAAGGATGCAGCCCTCGGTTTCTCCTGCTGGTGTTATTCACTGCATGTCTGCTTTACTTTGCATCAGGTTAGGCTGCTCTCTGCAGGCTTCTCTCTACTCATCATAGCCCTTGTTTCTTAGGGTATGATAGTGATTTCCCAAGATGCCCGTGCACCTTGCCAGTGTGACCCTCCCTCAGTGGGCATGCATTGTTTTCATTTCTCTGCCAGTTGGCTCCCATGAGTGCCCCTATCCTAGAACTGCTCGGCTCTGGACAGGCCTATAGGGACCCAGCCTTGGGGTGCAGACCCTCACCCTTCAGAGGTCTTTTCAGGGTAGGGTCAGTGCTAAGGGTGAGAGCCTCTAATTCTGAGGTGCTAATTCACTCATCTCTCAGTTTCAGCTGAGGCTTGGTTGGTCTTCCAGACTCTTATGACTGACTGGCATCTTGCACAGGGGTTGCTTAGAGATCCTTGCAGCACTACTTTATAGGACATCCTCTGGCCCTAGGGCTATGTGACCAGGGATGTGCTTGGGGCACTCCTGTGCTCCCACTCTCCTCCCTGTAATAATAATAATAATAATAATAATAATAATAATAATAATAATAATAATAAACAATTAGCTAACATTTAGATGGCATTCACTGTGTGTCAGGCACTGTGCTAAGTACCAGACAATTATTATCTCATTTGATCCTCACAACAACCCTGAGAGGTAGATGCTATAATTATCCCCATTTTACAGATAAGGAAACTGAGGCAGACAGGCTAAGTGACTTGCCCAGGGTCACATAGCTAGGAATTGCCTGAGCTGGATCTGAACTCAGGTCCTCTTGGCCTACTGCTCTATCCACCATCCCACCTAGCTACCCCCTACTGTGTGAAACTTGGTTTTGGGTCTTGCTCCCACCTGTGGCTGGCTGCTGCCTACCCATCCCAAGGAAGCCCTCTGTCTGTGGTCAATGTGGTCCTCAGGCAGCCCATAAGGATAGGCCTCAGAACTTTCCTAGCCTTTGAAAATAGAGCATTTCCTAAGACTGGGGAAAGTATAAGCTGGAGACAGCCAGCTCTGAAGGACGCTTCCTCAGACTCAGGAGCCTTGCTTAGGTGGTGCTCTGTATCAGTCTGAACACCCAGAGCAAGGGTAGGAGGCATAAGGTGCCTGAAGCTGGGGCAATGGGAGGGGCAGGGAGTGTGGTAAGAGCAGAGCCCTAGCCTGGCTTAGCCCACAACTGGCACCCAAAGCAGAGCCAGTGAAGGAGTCAAGGAAATGTATGACCCTGCACTGGCCAATTCCACAGCTGGGTAGGATGAGACCTACCAGGAAGGGATGGGTGGATGGAGAGGCCATACTCTCCTTCCCGGCAGGTCTCCGAGTTCAGTGCATGGGACACCCTCTTGCTGATTCTCATGCCCCACTCAGCCCCAACCCCCCAGCACACCAGCCCTCCACATGCTTAGGAACCTACTTTGACCTCAGTCTTGGCCAGACCCAATCAGAAATGTGGTGGTCTCTCTGTGTGTGTGTGTGTGTATGTGTGTAAAAGCACATGGGGGCCACTCTTCCCTGCCCCCCCCACCATCTGTGTTCCACAGAACACTGTCCCTTCTGAAGCCTGATCCTAGTACGTACTTAATAAAGGTTTATTGATTGGTTAACTAAAAGCCAAACAGAGGTTCTAGATGTCAAAGGGAGCCACTGAAGGAGGATGAACTAGAATGGGGAGAGACCTGAGGCAGGCATTCCCCCACCAGCTATTGCAATAATCCAAGTGTGAGGTAATGAGTGTCTGCACCAGAAGGGCAGCTGTGTGAGTTGGGAGAATGGGGTGGAGGTGGGGAGATATGTGAAAATTATTGTGACAGTAGAGACAACAGATTTTAGCAACACATTAGATTGGGGAGGAGAACTGGGTTACTCTAAGTTGTGCACCTGGGGGACTGGGAGGATGGTAGTGCCATCCACAGTAAGAGGGAAGTCTGGAAGAGGGAAGAGTTTTGGGAAAAGAGTGCTTTCAGTTTTGGACGTGTTGTTAATCTCGAGATATCTACAAGGCATACAATTCAATATGTTCAGGAAACTGTGATGTTAGGAGAGAGATTCAATATGTATAGACTGACCTGGGAATCATCTGTACAGAGATGCTTGTTGAAGCCTTATGAGCTCACCAAATGCAATAGCATGGAAGGGAAAGAGAGGAGGATCAACAGCGTGTCCTTAGGAAACACCTAAAGTTAGTGGGAGCGAAGTGGAAATGTCCCACAAAGGAAACTGTGAAAGGCTGGTCAATGGGGTAGAAACATCAGGGTCATGGAAACCCAGAAAAGAGAGAGCACCCAGGAGTATAGGGTTAGTGATAGAAGGGTTAATATAATCACTATTGTTATGGGGGTGGATTTGTTTCATAAGTTAGCTAATGATTTAATATTGGTTGTGGATGTTAGGTTTAGGGTTAGAAATATAGTTAGTGTAGCAGTAATGTAAATAAGTAGGTTTAAGAGAGTTATGGTTGTATTAATTAGGATAATAATAGTTATTCAGCCTATGTAAGCAATGGATGAATATGCTAGAATTTTTTGTAGGTGTGTTTGATTTAGTCCTCCTCACCCTCCTAGTAGTGTTGATAGAATGGCTAGGGTTGCTAAGATCTTTATGTTTAGTGACGGTGAGATTTGGTATATGATTGATATGGGGGCTACTTTTTGTCAAGTTAGTAGGATTATGCTGGATAGGAGTGGAATTCCTTGTGTAACTTCAGGTACTCAGAAGTGGAATGGTGCTAGTCCTAGTTTAATGGCTAGGGCTAGTGTTATGAAGATTGAAGCTAGGTGGTCAGATATTTGGAGTAGAGTTCATTGATTTGTTATTCAGGCGTTATAGATAATAGCGAATATAATCATTATTGATGCAGTTGATTGTGTTAAAAATATTTGATGGCAGATTCGGTGGCTTGTGAGTGGTTGGGATGATAAGATAAGATAAGTACCATGTCAAAGGCAGAAGAAAGAGGATTGATAAAAGGCCATTGGGATTGGGGACTTTGGAGAGAGCAGCTCCAGTTGGCTGATGAGGCTGAAAGCCAGACTCCAGAGGATTTATAAGAGAGTTGGAGGAGAGGAGTGGAGGCATTGATTGCAAAGGGCTCTCTCAAGGAGTTTCCATGGAAGAGAGTTACTAATGGAAGAAACCTTGGGAGAATCTCTTAAAGAAACAATTGGCTGAGACAAGGGGCTGACTTCTTTATTGGTCTAAGAATAATCATGGGTCAATCTTTAATTGAACATTATCTTGGTGTGTGTATATTCATTAAGGAAATTGGTGTATAATTTTCTTTTTTCATGTTATTTTAACCTCATTTTCAAATTACTACTGTATTTGTCTGATCAGAGACATTGGGTAATGCCCTATCATGCTCTGCATATGAATCATCTGTGCAACACATGGGGTACTTATTCCAAGAAAATTAGAAAGAATTCCCCTAAGAATTCCCATTAAAGAAATTATCCATCATGACCAGGTAGGATGTATACCAAACCATGCAAGGCTAGTTCAGTATCAGAAAACACAGGAACAAAACCTGACTAGAGACCCCATCTAGTACCTGGAACTATCTGGCCAGAGCACAGGCAAAATAAGAGGGGCCACTGATATTGGAGCTGCTTTTGAAAAAAATTTTGGACCAATTATCATTATGGGAAATTGGGTAAAACCAAGGAGCTAAGAAGGCAAATGTGCCCAGAGGCAAAATGGAAGATAAACAGACCAGGGCATGGCTTGAGGACCCAACCACATGGATGCAAGAAATGGGAAGGTGGAAGCTTCTCATATCTAGGTTTGCTTTTTTAAAAATTTTATTAATTTATTCTGATTTATCAACAATCACTTCCATATGCATTTGAGTTTAAAATTTTTCTCCCCCTTCCTCCCCACCACCCTCCCCAAGACGGTGCACAATCTGATATAGGCTATACATTTATATTCCTATTAAACATATTTTCACATTAGTGAAGTTGTAAGCTAAAATTAAAATCAATAGGAGGAACCATCAGAAAGAGAAAACAAAACTCAACAGAAGAGGAAAAAAAGATAGGGATTCAACTTTTACGTTTATGATTACTATCTGTGTCTTTTTCTCCATCCTTTTTCCCCCGTTTATGCTTTTCTTTCTCCTCTCTCCCTTCCCCCCCTCACCAGTACTTTGCTTTTGACCACCGCCTCCTTCAGTCTCTCCTCCCTTCTATTATTCCCCTCCCCCACTTCTTCCTTCCCATCCACCCTCCCTTTTCTTTCCCCTTTTGCCTCCTACTGCCCAAAAGGCGGAGTTAGATTTCCATACCTAACTGATTATGTTATTCCCTTCTTGAGCCAAATCTGATGACAGTAAGGTTCAAACAATGCTCACCTCCCTCCCTTCTTTCCCTTTGCTGTAATAGGATTTTCTGTCTTTTCCTGCAATGTAATTTACCCTTGTCTGCCTCCTCCTTTCTCAGTACATTTTCTAAGATCAGACTAATCCTCTTACTTGGATCCATTTAACCCACTTGATTAGATTTTTTTTTATCATTACATCAAAGTCAACTAATATCCACCCCCTTTATGTATAC